CCCCCAAAACCCCAAAACCCCAAAACCCCTTTCTGGAAATAATTATAGAGGATAAAGATGAACATCAGGTTCCAAACTCCTGCACGTCCGAGGTTTGAGTATGACACTGAGTACTCTAACACTTATTTGAAATTGAAAGGCCAATCAAGATCGAAATCTAATTTCAGGTCAAACTCTAGGCTGGTGAATAATGCTCAGCTGAGTTTCGCTGGACATAGAAGGGATATTACTCCTGCTGAAGACCAGATCAGATCTCTTCCAGTTGTTCCTAAGAAGGGAGTTGCCAATGAATGGGCTGCTATGGCTAAGCTAAATGATGAGAAAGACCAAGAAAGAGACAGGAGAGAGAAAGAACAGATGAAAAGCAAGCAAATAGAGTATAGAGCTGAACTTCAAAATCAGATTAAGTTACAACAGTCACGATCAAAGTCAACAATGGATAGCTATATCGCAGAACAGCATCAGAGACAAAATAGGAATGAAATGTTTGAGGTACTTCTAATGACTTAAACCCTTTAGAAATATGGCTTTGAGCTGAATAAGGCAAAGAAAGGGACTGAATGCTCAACTGCTTTTCATAAGAAACAAAAAGAAGCTTTAATAGTAGCTGAGAGCATAAAAGAACTCCAAAAGCGAAACCAAGAGAATAAGGTTATCAAACAAATTGAAAATAATCAGTTCAAATAAGAGTCTTCTTCAGCATCAAAAATCTGAAAATGAGAGAATAGTTACAAGAAGGGCTCAAAAGTTGCAAACCCAAGCTCAAATTCGTAGCACACTTGACAGACAATTAGAATCCAAAAGAATCGCATTACAGGAAGAAAAAGAGATGGATAAGAAGATCCTGGGTCTGGCGCTCAAGAAAGAAGAGAACGAGAATCTCCAGAGGGATGCTTTCTTCTCAAAGCTGAAAAAGATTCAGGATGCGAATATAAAATAAAACTGAGTAATTACATTCCTCATCATAGAAACATCAAGGCGAATGATTTGTCTAAGCAAGCTGCTGAGAGGGACAACCTCAATTTTATTAAAAACATGAAAGATCAGGAAGAAACTTGGAAGAATCAGGACAGACAAAATCAAGTGAGGAGGATGAAACAAATGCAAGAGATGAAGCAAGGCCTTGATGCCCAACTTTCTGAAGGCAAGAAACAGATTCGCTTGAATAGGAAAGTCGATGAGATGTATGGAAGAATGCTGAAAGAGAGAGACCAGATAGATCTACTAAGAGAGCAAGAGGAAAAGAATAAATTTAAAAATCAGCAAAAGAGTCTTTATAATGGGTTGCATGACCAGAATAGACTTAATACAAATAGAGCAAAATATTCAGATATGATGAGTGAGCAGGAAAGAAGGATGAATAATGCTAATCTTGAGGCTTATCAGAGAATCCCTCATATGCCCACTACTAGAGATAAAATTGCAGCTTCAGTAATTTAATGTAATATTATTTAGTACGGAGGTATCCAAATGCCACAAAAGAGAAATTCAGAACAAAGAGAAACAGTTTATAGACCTTCTGGCAATAATGGAGCATATGGAGACCAAATTTTTATAGAAAATCCAAAACAAAAGACTACCTCCTCCACCAGAGGTCGGAACAGCAGCCACAGTTTCAGCATCCCTCACGCTTCCACTCAAGCTAGCCCTCCTGCACCTTCCAAGTCAGTTTTCTTCCTCTAAAATCCCCAAAATCTGTGCGTAATCCTTCTTTAGGCCAGACAGCATGAGCTTCATTGATATGAGCGCAAAGTTGTTCGGTAAGGCTCAAATTTGGGATTTTAATGAGAGTTAACAAGTTTTTGAGGGTTTTGAAGGCTTTGAAGGCGGAATTGAGTAGGACAGGTGCTTAAATTTGGCAAATTTAGGTAAAGATATAGTAAATAGCAAGCCAGTGAGGGCTGATAAGGGTGCGTTTAGGTCCAAGCCTTTGGAGAAAGTGTAAGGATTGTGTAATTTTTAGACCTGGTGATGTAAATTCTCCGAGTTTGTACAAGATTGAATGGCCAAGTAGCTCCAAAATTTTTTAAGGTTCAATTTTACATAAAAATCTCGGGGTTTTGGGGTTTTGGGGTTTTGGGGTTTTGGGG